CATTACGTTGGGCAGATTGCGGAATTATTGCAACAAGTTCTTTTTGACGATAAAAAACTTGCCGTTCACGTAACGGTGTTGGAAGACGCGTTCAAGCAGTCACTTTGTGCTTCTGTAGGACTACTTCTGTCGCCAAATCGGAGTCGGGGGAGCCTGTTAATAGACTTCTCCAGCAAAGACTTCTCCAGCGAGGTCAAGAATTATGTTCATTGTTTGGGGGTGCTCACTGATCGTTCTTACGGAACTCACTCGTTCCGTTGTGCCTTACGGGCTCTCTCTCGAGCTAAACCAGCAGCCGCACAGCGGCGCATGATATAGGCAGAATGGAATTACCGACAAAGACAAGGGAGATTGGAATGGCCATTTCTGGCTTATTGGCCGTCGTCAGCCAGTCATACCCAACCCCAGAGTGTGGAACACCCGAGGCTCGAACTCGCGACCTGTTCGTTAGAAGTCCACGCCTCTAACCACTCGGCCACGAGCCCGTTGCCCTGTCGGTTTCGATCGAGAATATATGACAGTTCGACCATCGGTTTCGATGATGTCCACCGTGTGTCCCACAGTTGCAGCAGCGGTGGGAGCAGGGACGGTGACTTACGCAGGGGTTTATAGTGCCGGTAGACTTGCGTAGCATCTACCTATATTCTCTCCTCCTCCTCCTTCGCCCGAGCCCGGTGTCAAGACAGAGTCAAGAAGACCGGAGACGAGGGAGGCCGCAGGTGGATGGCTCGGACGGATCCTCACCTTGGCGTTCCACCACACCCCCTGATCCACACAACAAATGACCAGGATCGAGAATATATAATGGTAGGGGACGCTCACCGCTCGTTCTTACGGAACTCAACCATTCCGTTGTGCATTACGTGCATATGTTCATCAAATAACTTAAAGTGCCAAATAGTGTGATTGGGTAAGCCATACTACGCATGCTGGCAACGTCTCCCTTCCAACTATCTGTCCCCCAGCGTTCGGATAAGTTAGTCCTATAGAACATGAAGAATTAGAAAAACAACGCCATGTTATTACTAGGTCCCCTTTATGGCTGATTTTGCAGGTCCCACAAACTCTGACCGTGACCCTTCTTTGATGCCCCTTTCAAATATAATGTTCCAGCGGAATAGCTTCCTGTCCGCCATTTTCAGGAACTGCTGATGGAACATGCCCGACGGACGACACCGAACAGTCCATGTTTATCAGTCTGATCGGAATGCCAAAGTCACCGGCTATATAAACATCCTCTACGGATCAGTACCGGCTGGTGATGGACACTGCGTTGGCCGTCTGCTTAGGCGTGGAGGGGGGGCGGAGCAATAAGCGACCACAGGTGCTATTGGTCGGGCGTGCGTGGTAGGTGGAGTTAGGGTCAATATTTCCGCTTTCAGCGTCGTACATTATTGATCGACGAGTGTAGTGGACATGTAGCAAGCGCAAAGGAGGACCTCTCATTGGATGTCCCTCTGATAAGGGATAATCAAAAACAGTGGCATTGGATGCAAACCTGTCGACTGAATTTCAGTGCATCGTTTTAGCGCTCGCCTTCGGGATAGGCGCCCGCCCTCCGGTGTTTGTTACTTGCTCGACTGCTTAGCTTGAGTTATTCGTCCGGCCCTAACGCCTACCTACCTACCCACCTTTTTCTTCTTTTTTTTCGACCTTCTCTTCATGTCTCGCCTGAGTTCCCGCATTTTGTACCTTTCTGTCAACTCGTAATTCGGCCGGAAGAAATGCACGCCCATGTTTGAATTCCAAAAGGCCATTCGTCCCTTGGACTCTCACGTGAACACTAAAAGACCAGAATTATATCTAAGGCGGCCACAATTTGGCCCCCAAACCAAATTAACACATTTCAAACAAAAGAAAGATAAACAAACAGGGTTATAAAACAACTGAGACCTTATAAAAGTGCAAGCTGAGGAAATTTCGGCGACCTCCAGCGTATTAAATGGTCGTTGGACGGCAGGGATGCAAACTGTTGATACCTGCTACGTTTGGCCTCCATGTTCAAGTAGACTTTTACAACAGTGGATTTTGCATGGAGAGACTGCAGTTATCAAGTCAGTTTAAATATCAGTGCAGTGGTTGATCCCACTTTACACAAAATGGGGCTTCCTTTCTTAAAAAGGCGGCGCCGATACCGACGAAGTGAGAAAATTAGATACTCGGGAAGGGAGGCAAATTAGCCAATTAATGCAGACCGCAGATAAGTGTGACGCAAGGGGTTCAATGCTAGCCATAAAACGAGTGGAAATGGAGTAGGTGGGCAAACTCATAAAATATAACCGAAATTCTGATTTGACTCAAAATGGTTTCCTAAGTGGGTTTGTACTACTGATAATCATTCAGCATAATCCCAAGGTGTGCCAGTCACTGCAGAACGCCATCTCTTGAATGAACTCCTTTTGGGCAGACTGCAAAAACTACACTCTGCAAAAAATAACTACTGAAGTGGTATGAATTTTTCTCATCGATTTGCAACACTATTATAAATTCAAATATATTTTGTAGAAAACATAGATGAAAATATTTATTCAGTTTGGTCATTTAGAAGAAAATTATGTCTTCCTCACATTTCATACTGGGAGAAAGGGTCTAATTCGGTTTTAAAAGACTTTGCCAATTCCTGAATAATTTCGAACTCGACTTGTCGTTACACTTGCATTCAGGGCTTCTGAACCACAAACCATGTTTTTTTCTGTGTAGAGAAAACCATACATTTCCATACGCTGTTAAGAGGAGATCCTATGTGGTTCATAAAACTGAGCAGTGGATTTGAGCCATATTGTAAGCTTTAAAAGTAACATTAGGAAATGAAGAGACACGATGTTTCACGAACGGGCTTTTTACAGTCTTGAATAATCTCATCATTAGGAACATTCTTAAGACCAAATTATAACCATCCTTCAAGTAAAAAATTGAAGAAGACGTAGTTGTTTTCCAAATGAGTAAAAGAATGAATATTTTCGTCCATGTTTTCTAAGAACTTTATTTTAATTTATAATGGTGTCGAAAATCGATGAGAAAAATTCATGCTAATCGAATAGATAATTTTTACAATATGTAACTTTTGAAGGCGGCCGAATGAAGTTCATTTAAATGCTGGTGCCCCACAGTAACTGAAATGTCTCGGAATTATGCTGAATGATAATCACTAGCACAACCCTGCTTGAGTAATCCTTTCGAGCCAAAAACGCATTTCAGAATATCGGCCTATTGTATACTAGCACGCAACAAACCCCAATTGAGGTGACGACACACAATACAGGAGGCCACCAACACTCACAGGCGACGGCCAGTAGGCTAAGGCAGCGAAAGAAGAAAAAAGTCAATCAGCCGAAGGCCAACTAATGGGGCAGTCTATTCAAAAAGTGCTGATCGATTTTTTCACTTGACGCTTTGGCAATGGAGAACCGGCCCAGCACTTCGAAACGTCAGCCGAACAAGTCTTTCGATCCGATGAGCACTTCATTTTTCAGATTATCGACCCGGATCTCTTACTTTTGCTAATCTTAGCGATTTCAGTTTTCACGGTGCATGCTTTCCGCGTAGGGTGAATCATATATTCCTCTATGCCTTTAAGAAGATACCATATAGAGTTAACAAAACTTAACAATGGATGCGGACTATGTCGTAAATTGCATGAGGAGCATTGGTAAACGGACATCTGCGATGCCGTATATATGAACATCGTACAGTCTTAATAAACTCACAATTAGAAACCTTTTTAAAACTAAAAAACAGCCTTCCTTGGGGTATAACGTGTACAGAAAACGTGATTTTCTACCCGATTAGTGAAAGAAGGCATATTTTGTACATGTTTTCTATAAAATATATTTAAAGCTATAAAACCATCGAGAAACAATGTGAAAAATGCATGCCACCTAAGTAGTTATTTTTTATCGAGTGTGATTTCCGCAGGAAGTCGAAAAGAAGTGCATTCAATAGCCGACATCCTGGCAAGTCCGAAATACCATAGGATTATGTCGCATGCTAATCAGTATTACAATCCCACCTAGGTAATCCTTCCTGATCGAAAACTCATTTTAGAATTTCGGCCAACATTTCATAAGATCGGTCACGCACTGTATGTATATTTGCGTACATATTAAAAAGTAATAAGTGTTTTTAGGAAATTCAACAAAATTTTTTCCGTAAATTTTCGACACTGGTTCCCCAGGTCGTCTTCGGACGTGTGGCAAATATACAAAGCAGTCGACAGTGATTCGTGGACTTCGTTGACATCTGGCATTGATTGGCTGTGACTTCTTCCATCTTTCCCTGAGATTATTATAAACGGCATCTAGTTCAATGTGCCGGTTACTGCATGATTCATCGGAATACATGGCCTCTAAAAATTCCCGGCTTTTTCCGATGGTCAGACAGCGACAATGCATGTTTTGTTCCAAGCAAATTTATGTCCAGTTTCCAGTGTGTGCATGGTAACTTGGGACAAGTGGTATTGTCCCCTCACGGCCATTTGATGTTTGTGTTTGCGCGTAGAGGCCGAAATTCCAGTTTGGCCACAGTACACTGAATTGCATGCTGTAGCGTACAAAATTTCTGGGGTAACCATTTTGGAAAAAGAGTTTGAACAAAAAATTAAGTTCTATTTGATAACTATTGTTGTCTGAGCAGGCTGGGAGGCTGGTAACAGCTGTATCACGCACTTTTCTAGCAGTTGATGCCCGTGTAACGTTCTCACCTAGTCCCATTCTATATGGAGAAGCACCAGTGCAACCGATTACAAGATTTCTAAATGTTTATTTCTCAAACTCCATCCATTGACACAGGATTGTGAAATTTTTGTCGAGAATTCCATGAAGTTTCCAGGCAAAGTACGAGGACTCACAGTTGTAGCTGATGAGATAATGTAGATATGTAAGTTTATTTTACAGTTAATTACCTACGAAATCGTGTAAACCCAGCAGCTACTCTCAAGGTTGATGTGGTTAGGACCATCCGCTGGGATTTATGTCCCAGCCAACAGCAGTGTAGAAGTAGGGATGGAGGAGGGGGAGGATGTGGAGGAGGGGGAGGAGGAGGAGGAGGAGGAGGAGTGGAAGGAGAAGGAGAAGGAGGAGGAGGATGAGGAGGAGGAGGAGGAGGAGGAGGAGGAGAAGGAGGAGATGTCCATGTACCTGCTTGACTTGGACTCTTGGACCTTTGTCTGGAAACTAACTTCTCATTTGCATGTGAATACTACCAACAGATGAAGGGAGCTCCCATGGAATCGCCGATATCCGATTTTCTTGCTGAAATCACAATGCAAAAATTAGAGGCTATGACTTGACTGTTGGTTAATCCTGCCTTATCATATCTACAGTAGGTGGGCTAAATCATGAAATGTCAACCGAAATTTCGAAATGCGTTCTCGTTTCGAAAAATAATTAGGTAGGGTTGTAGAACTAATCATCATGCAGGATTATTCTATAATAAATTATTCACCTCAGGATGTCGGCTTTCGAATGAACTTATTTTCGACTGCGTGCAAGAACTAGGCTCTTCAAAAAATGACTACTTACTTAGCATTCAATTTTCTAATTGATTTTCGATGCCCTTGAAAATTCAATTATTTTTGACGGAAAACATGCTTATAAATATTCATTCTTTTGCTGATTCGGTAGAAAATGACGTCTTCCTCCGATTTAATAGTCAAAAGAAGAGTGCCATCTAGTTTCAAAAAAGGTTCCTAATTGGGTGATTTTCTAATACCATGAAATGGCCGTTCATAAAACGTCATGTATCTGCATTTACCAATGTGGCTTGTAAAGTTAACAATATTGCTCAAATCCACTGCTTAATTTTATGAACCCCATATGGTCTCCTCCTAATGCCGTAGAGAAATGCACGGTTTCCCGTACACGGAAAGTATGCGGCTTGTAGTTTTGACGCCCTGAATGCAAGTGTAACAGCAGGTTGGGTTCAAAATTATCCGGGAATTGGAAAACTTTTTTAAAACCGAATTATGTCGCTCCTTCGAGCATAAAATCGGAAGATGACGTCATTTTCTACCAAATAAGCTAAAGAATGAATATTTATAAGGATTTTTTCCATGAAATATAATTGAATTTTCAAGGGCATCAAAAATCAATGAGAAAATTGCATGTTAAGTAAGTAGTCATTTTTTGAAGAGCATAGTTCTTGCATGCAGTCGGAAATAAGTTCCTTCGAAAGCCCACACCCTTAGGTAACTGGATCATGATAAAATTATCTTGCATGAAGATTAGTTCTACAACCCTACTTAATTAATCTTTTTCGAAACGAGAAGGCAGATCGAAATTTCGGTTGACATTTCATGAGTTAGCCCGCCTACTGTATGTGGCTGCCGTAGCGTGATCAGTAAGCGCCGGTGGCATCTGCTGTCGATCGGCGCTGACAGCATGCAGAAAACCGTAGCAAATGCTTTTATTGGGTTTAATAACAGCTTGATACAACTCTCTCTCCCCTCCTCCATCCCTACTTCATCACTACTGTTGGCTGGGGCATAAATCCCAGCGGATGGTCCTAACCACATAAACCGTGAGAGTCGCTGTTGGGTTTACACGATTTTGCAGGTAATTTACCCGTAAAACAAACTTAAATATCTAGCCAAATGTCTTGGTAGTGACATCCGACGCTGCACTTGGGAGCAGAAACGCTTGGGTTAACTTCTCTTCTAGTGAACACAAGATTACGTGTCAAGACGAAGTGCAGATAATGGCTGACTTTCTGCACATTACGTGGTGCCATTATTATGGCGGCAGGCCCATTTGCAGGCTCAGACCGCGCCAGTCGGATCCGAGCCGCCGCCCCGTGCCTGATATTGCTTAAAATCCGGATCAAATGTCTGTTGTTGATCTCTGGGTGTGGTGGTGTCTCTAGTTGCGTGTTTGCGCCGTGCCAGCCACCCGCACTGCCCTCCCCCGTCTCTGGTCTTCCAGGCTATGTCTTG